AGTGAGTGGGACTTGAATAATAATTATTTGTAAGTGGTACCATAAGTAACTTTACCAGAGCCAGAAAAAACAAGACAGACATCAATATTTGAAGCATTGATATTTGTACAAGAATACATCATGTCAAGGTCTCAAAAGTTACATAGCATGAATAATCTGAGACTAAATATGTACCACGTTGACAGTATATACTGTACTGTACAATTTTAAGATTACTTCTCTCTCAAGAATATAAAACTTGTTAAATAATTGTGAAAAATATTATGAATGTCCAAAATTTTGAAAAGCAGGTAATATGGTATATGAGTGACCAATACAGCTTAATTTACATTCACTATAAAGACAATATGAACTCTAATGCGTTCAGGTTTCTAGTCCAGGAGAAATCACGGTAATTCAGAACCGCTTACAGGTTAACCTCTGCACTGCACACGTTAAATGTAACACACCTGTGGTGTGCACAAAAAACTTGGGAAGAAATAATTTTTCCACTTGACATTGTTAATTAGTATTCAGAAAGCACAAAAATTAAAGTAAAAAGTCTCTATCTTTTGTGGTTTAGCTGTAGTGGCCTGGACATGTTGAGTGTTTTTCAATAGAAATGTGGCGAGATGCCACATGGGAAGAGATTTGTTAATTTATTTTGATTATCACATTATAATTTTTTTCATTCCAACAAGTTGTATTGATGTGTCAATGGTGATGAAATCACTACTAGTATTAACAACTTCATTTCTCTAGAGGTGAAGTTGTTAATGGTGTGATATGCAATAGGACGAAAATAAATGTAAGAGAATACTGTAGTAAGTTTGTGTAATGTCACCAGAGTTGCTTAACACTTAATGAGTGGTTACAGTCATACAACGATTCCCCAGGATAATGGTTATCATCATACAGGTATACCAATTTGAGTCATTGTAACACAGTTTTTATACAAATTATGTAAATAAGCTTATAATATATCTATAAGGATGTAGTGGAGTTAACCAAGCCCCATGAAAACATTCTGCTAGTTTTAATTACTTACTATGTAGTGAGGCTATCATGTACCAGTTGCCTGGTCTTTCCTACCAAGGTGAAAATTTATATGCCCAGACAGAATAGAAACAGTTGGTTGCTTGTTGCTCTTCCTTTGAACTTTACCCAGAGCAAATTAATGTGTAATAAAGAGTATATTTTACATTGTAGGCCTATATTCAATTCACAATCACTGTTGTAATAATTTTTGTGTACATAATTTGTGTTATTCCAAACACTGTTTAAACTAAAATGAAACGGGAACATAAAAACCATCCAACAAATATCAGAGCCCTCACCCCCTATATGATGAATCAACAAATGGGACGATTTCCTTTTCTCTAAATTTTTGTATGCAAAATGTATTATTTTATAAGATTTATTTTTTACCAGTGGTAAAAATTAAACAAATAAACAAACAAACATACATACATACAGATTAATGATAGAAGAAAAAGTAAGAACACAATAATAACCATTCCACTGCACAACACAGCTGCGGCCATTTTCAAGTACAGCGTGTAACACAAGATTCACATTTTCTTTTTCAGGCCTCCAAGTAAACAGATGCCATCTTAACACTTTCGCGTACCGGCGCCTCTAAATGTCATCACTCATTTTTCTCCCGATTCGTCTCGGGTGACGAGGTCCGGTGTCACTCATTAAAATATTTGTTAAAAATTTAAATTTTATCTGATCAATCTAGGAGTGGTTTCAAAATGAGCGCCTTCAGACTGCGCACAATTTGATACCAAAATGAAAGACGTAACATGAAAATTGATGTCAGAACATTGGAAAGATACAAATAATTTTGTGGTGTCAAAAAGTGTCCAAAAAGTTAAAATATTTAATTAAATTCTATTTATTGTTCTATTAATACGGGACTAGTTTTAAAATAAGCGCCTTTTTATTTAGAACAATTTGATACTAAAATGAAGGACATAGCACGAAAATTTATGTCATCAAACTGAACGAGTATATACATTAGTTTGCAGGTGTGCCAACTGGTGCTCGTTCACGGGTAACTTGGCCGACTTAGGGCTCTGCTGTGGGGAGTCACTCCGGGCTTTTAGACCTTATATGCATATACCCCTATAGAGAATTCTATTGCGAACACAATGATACCAAAACGAACAATGTTGCACGAGAAATAAGGTGAGAAAACCGAAACGAGTATATACATTTTACAGACTTTGTGCGCTCACGGGTAACTGCCGATTTTAGTCTTTATATTTTGTTATTGGTATTGCTTATATATATATTGTGGTTGTTATTGCTCATATTTGTCTTTCTATTTAGAGCATTGTATTGCGAATAATTTGATACCACAATGAACAATGTTGCACAAAAACTTCTGTTAGCAAACTGTATGTGTTTGTCTGGTGTATTGGGTGTAGCGGGTGTGGCAATGAGTGTGCTCTAGCGGGTAAGGCGCGCCCATGTTGTCTAATTTATATGCATATGTCTGTGTAGAAAATTTTATTGCGATCACAGTGATACAAAAAAGAACGATGTCAAACAAGTTTGGACCTGATAAACCTGAAAAGAGTAGCAACATGTTCACGCTGTTTGGCGAGAACAGCTAACACACAACTTAGTTTTTTTTATTTGGTGCAGGCACCACGTTAGCTTTGGTGACATGTTATACATATGTACCTCTAGAACATTTCATTGACAACACATTGATACCAAAATAAAACACGTACATCGAAAATGAAGGTCAGAAACATGAAAACAGAGTATAAACTTTTCAGTAGTGTTGAAGCCAATGTGCAGTTGGGCGTGCGGTAACGGGTAACCCTTGGGCAACTTCCCACAGTCTTGCGGGTGGGATGCGCCCATGATTTGTACTTTATATTCATATGTCCGTGTAGGGAATTTTATTGTTATCAGTGTTACCAAAATTAACGACAGACCAATTCTGGGGTTGACAAACATCGCGGTTTGGTGCTTATGGCTAACGATTGCCATAGTTTTTTATTTGGTGCAGGTCTCACGTCGACTTTGGAGAAATTTTATAGATATATTCATTTAGAGCATTCTCTTGCGAACAAAATGATACCAAACTTAAATATATACTTGGAAATTTAAGGTGAGCAGACTGAAAAGAGTATAAACATTTATGTGTCGCTGTGCGGACGCCGAAATGAACGGCGCACGAGGGGAAAGTTACACAGGGTTCTGTCGGGAGCGCAAAAGTGTTAAAAAAAAAAAAAAAAAAAAAAAAAAAAGCACAGCTTGTGGCCACAATATTACTTAATGACAAAATAAATTGCTGCGATTATTTTGTCACAGATGATGCTGACTGTGATTAAGACTATCTACAAGGTTCAGATATCAGTGAACACAATACTGGTTATGATGTTCACAGTGGGAGGCAGACAATACACAGCACACTGCCAGAGTTTTGTGCATCTACACATCATAAAACGGGACCCCATGTTCCTTTAGAAAATAAACTTGTGGAAAATGACTCGTATTCAGGATTCAGTGACATGAATCATAACAGCAGTGTTGTGGCCAGTTAGTGATGCGCATTGTATACTGGAGGCATTTTTTGCCGAGTCAGGTGGCATCGTCCAGTAGTATCATCCGTTGGAATACATATACATACATATACATATAATATATATATAATATGTCTATATAACATGCGGATCTTTTACTGCTAGAATTCATTCAATAAACCATTTAAATTATTGGGAAAGCTTAAAAATTTTAAATCTGTACTCCATAGAGTGCAGGGAAGATACATAATAATTTACATGTCAAAATTCAGTGCCTCGTAATACTGAGTGAATTGATGGTTTGTGAAAGTTGAATGAATGAATGGATTGACTTTTGTTTTGAAGGGTATTTATGTGAATACAAAGGTAGAAAAGGAATACCAGGATGATATGAAGACATAACCAGTGGTGGTAAAGAAGTATATGATGTGGATAGCACATTAAAAGGCAGTTAAAAAATAATAATAAAGAATAAATATACAGTATACTCAATATATAATGAGAGTAGCTGTATGTTAGGAGCAAATGATTATTATTATTTTGCCCGTGATAATGCGGGATGAATACCTATTGCTGGTTCTTCAAGATGATACCGAATGTAGATAGTAATATTAATGGACTTAGGAAGTTTTCTGTATCTAATATCATTAACTCTCCTTTACTAGACGATTCATTAATTTTCCCAAGGAAAATCACCCCCCCCCCAATTCAATGAGTGGGAAATGTACTAATAATACTAATCACAATAATAATAATAATTAGTAATGGTAATGTTTTCTAATGACATAATAACATAGGATAAAACCCTCACTTGTGTATTTGTGTAAGGAATTTACACCAAGTCTTTTGCACTCTCGAGTGCTTTATCAAGGTGCGATTAGACGAGACTTAATCTCAACGTCTAATCACATTAGACAGGATTACTCGTTGAGATGTAAGTCTCGTCCTAATCACACACTCAGACCTCGATAAGGAACTCGGGAGAGTGCGAAAGACTTGGTGTAAATTCCTTACATAAATTTCACAAATACACAAGTGTGGATTTTTATCCTATAATAATAATAATAATTATAATAATAGTAAAAATAAAATAATAAATGATAATCCAATTAAGCTAATAAATATTTATGTTTACTATAATAGTGTGATGTTATTTTAACAAATTCAGAAATAATTATTTCTTCAATAGTTATTCATGTATTTTCAAGCTAGGCCTTAACATTTTGGCACCTAGCTGCTGGATATAAATAGCTGTAAAGTTATAATGTAAGCCAATTCTTATCAGTATGTTATAAGGAAACTGTAAATAAGTTTTTACACTTTATTAAAGTCCAATCTGGAGCAGATTAAAAGGATTTCCGTGAATCTTTATCATGTTCTAAAAAATGTTCAAGTATAAAATAATACAAGGATAATTATAAAAATCTGATGCCCTTAATCACATGCGCATATGAACAAAACGAGATGAGCAACTACCTTTACTTTCACTACCATTAATGACTTTTTCATTTTCTTGATCAGAATCCTTCTTCTCCTGGTTTTTGGCATTAAATTGACCAATCATCCGCTTCCTCTTTCGTAAAAGCTCTCCCTCGTCTAGCTTTCGTTTCTTATGGCGTACAATTCCATTCTCGTATAACTTTCTCTGAGGATATACAAAAAATTATAATTAGTGGACACAGTTCTGTAAATCTGTTAAAGAATATATGCTGCCCCAAAAAAACAATGGTTTTTACCTCATCCAAAAAATTCCAGCCAGCACTGAAAATTGCAAAAAGTTATGCTTAAAACAGACTAATTTATAAAACAAAGATGCATATTTTCTACTCATCCAGTTCTACGTGGCCTCGATAAAGTCTTGCATAATGCACTTGCATCAAAGAAAATAAAAATGAAAATAAAAATGAATCCCTAAACATGTATAGTAACACTAATAATATAATGAGCATAGCAACTATATAACATAAGGGAGGGGGAAGGGGAGTGAATCATAAATTATTAAAACTTAATTAAAAATAATAATAATGAATAAAAAACACACACACACACACATACACACACACACACTGTACAAGCATATTGATACTTGAGTCATACCAATTCCCAACTCGGTTCTCAAAATAAACAAATCGATAAAAAGCATTATACTAATAAAAAAAGGTAATGCGTATCAATCTCATGAGAAACATTACTCAAGATTTATCCACTGAAATTTAGGAACCTCACAGTAATATTTTCTATTATCTCAGACCTAAACCAAAGCATGTCACTTTGATGACTAACATTCCTTGACGTTTATCTGACACTCAGTTTAACCGTTTTTTAAATTATTCCTAGCTGTTGAACAATAATTCCTCACATTAATGAAGAGTGCCATTTTCGTCTCATAATTCTAAAGTTGCAACAATAAGAACATTTAAATAATGGAAGGGATCACTCCAATAAGGGAAGATCAGGAGTGGCAAACTAGTGAAGTGAGAAAGCAAATATATCAGGTCAGTCCCAGATCTTTGTAAAGCTGATATAGAGGAATTAATGGAAACCTAATGTATATATTGGGTAACAAATAACGTGGAGAGCTCTCGTTCCAATTATAGATGGTCGACAATTTGTGTGGTACTGCATTTGAGTCTGCTGATTTTGTGATACTCGGGTAAAAACTGATCCTAAGTTCACATAGGAAATTTGAGAGAACATGGGTAGAGAATAGCATGGGTTAGCAAAGATAATCTGTATTATCAGCATGGAACCCACATCTTGTGAAGCAGAAACAGGAGCTTTAGAAATTTCAGTCTTAACTGGATTAGTACCAGATCAGTAGAATAAAGAGGATATCATTGGAAGCTGAACACATTTTAGTCAGATGTAAGAAAGTTCTCATTTCCTGTATGGGTGGTCAACCTGTGGAATGCACTGAAGGAAGAAATTCTTGAAGCAAATTATATCTACAAAGAAAAAATATGATGAAAATGTTAATGGTCATAAGTGACTTGTAAAAGCAGATAAAGATTAATCACAACTGTTGGTACTCGGTGACTTCATGCCAAGTTGATACCAAGGTTTAAGGATATACCGGTATCAAAGTAAAACTACTCATATTTACCTTTTTAGAATAACAATCATCTTCATCCTCTTCAATGCCTTCTTCATCCATTTCTTCTTCATCCTGCTCCTCCTCTTCATCTGAATAAACTCGTGCCTGCAGAGATTATAATATAATTATAGATGTAAATCAATAATTATTTACACTTCTAAAGTTTAGAAGTCTGAAAATTAACGATAAATTAAACATTACTAATAATAACACAAATAGTAATGGTAAAATCAAAAGTAAATACACAAATAGTGTGACCTCTAAAATCAAGAATGATTTGTGTTTTACCTGGTCTAAATTAGAGGAATCAGAATTTCAGTACACAGTATATGATCTTTTCAGGCAATTTGTCACCAAACATGCTCAAGTATTATAGCAAATGAAAGATAACATCTTTCTGCATAAATAAACACAAATAACACTATAAATAACTGCAATACTATACACACATTAGTATTTCCCATTTCTCACTTTCTTCAAATGGGAAGTAGCTACATGGATGATAGATCCACCTAATTCAAGCCATGTCAGATTTTTGTGAGTCATTGTAAATCTAGTGGGAACCAGGGGCCAAACCCTGGCCCCTTCTTAAGAGAAGCAAGGAACAGTAAATCTTAGATTATCCTAACTAAAAACAGCCCACCAGAAAGGTGGGCAAGCCTAAACATTCAACCAGCAAGGTAAACAAAGGATAGAAAACTAGCCAATGAACCCCTGAAATGAATGAACCACCCAGTTGTGAAGCAATTTTCTCATTCGTCCCACCAGGAAACTGGGTACCTTCCTCCTTGATTCCCTAGCCATAAACCTCAGTCACGGAAGCCAGCAACACGGAAAACCGATTGATCTATGGGAGAGGGTGGGTCTCGAGAAGCCACCTAGGACCACCAGAAACAGGAGTTTAATTATATTCAATGCTTTTTCAGGAGAAAAGAGCTACAGAAAGTAACCCCCAGGAAAAGGAGGAGTTAGCAATGAGCTAACTGCTCGAATGCAACACAAGCCTCGTGGGAACCAAGAACATTCTTTAACTAATGAACCGCCAGCACACTGTTGCAACAGTAGAACCTGAGCCCTCATATCTGCCCAAGACATTTGATATAAACATCAATGGCACGTGGGCAGACCACAGGCTAGTTAAAACTTGATAACACTGGACAACCTGATAAAAGGCACAGAAACAAGGAACTAGGGTTCTGACATAATGTGTATCTGAGCTAAGCACTCCACTAATTGATTTTTCAGCTATCTGTGAATAGGAGTTCTAGCAGATATAAATGGAAAAAGCATAATTCCAATCTACAAAAATGGTAACACAAGACCCTCTTAATTATAGACCTGAATCATTGAAAAGCCTAGTAGGCAAAGCACTATAAAAATAGTTGAAACTATGTTGACCAGACCACACACTAGAAGGTGAAGGGACGACAAACTTTCGGTTCGTCCTGGACCATTCTCAAGTCGATTGAGAACTGAGAAGTTAAAACTAAATGGGTAGAACACCTGAAGAATAATGATACTGTATACTGAAATAACAGCCAGTATGGTTTTTGAACAGGAAGATCCTGTGTAACAAATCTACTTAGTTTCTACGATAAAGCAAGAGATTTTACAGGAAAGAGAGGGTTGGATTGCCTGCATCTATCTGAACCTAAAGACTTTTGATAGTCTGTCCCACATAAAAGGTTTCTGGAAACTGGAATATACTGATGGGGTGACAGGAACAATTTTTACACGAATGAACAGTTTTTGAATTAATAATAAAAACCAGGGTGGTAAGGGTCTTGATTAACTTGAGAAGTGCAGGTTTCCAATCAAAGTGCTAGGTATTTCTGCCAATTTTAACAAAAAAAAAAAAACTATAAATTAGGCCCGTACACTCAACAATGAAGTCTTTAAGAGTACAGTAAATATTTTGAGGGTATCACGATGAAAGAAGTACTGTACTTTAAATATACAAACAACTACAGCAACTCTAGTACTAAATCCAACCTTTGCATTAAGTTTAGGGGTAAATAGCTAAATACATGCCATGTATAATGAATTCTGCAAATACTGAAGTTATGGATAATGATACCTGACTATACAGTATATTAATCGGAAAACTGTAGCACTTGAATATTCAGTGCGAGGAACTGGTACCCCATTACATAAAGTAAAGGCATTTACTCATTTGGCAGTGAAACTGCCAAATGAGTGTGGACAACAATCAATATTTCAGACTTTACTTCTTGATAATTGCACAGGGGAACTAGGTTAGATGCAGATATTTCTAAAGTGTGGCACTGAAGCTGAGCCTGACTAGTTATACCTTACATGCTTCATCTGTGAAAGTTAAACAAAACTAGTCCCAAGCATCTGGTCTCCAGCCCTGAACAATCTCTTTTAAAGATATAGATTGCTCCCAAGTTCTAACACAAACTTAAATGAAATAGATGAAGAACATAATCCATTCCAAAACAAACCTGCTTCTTTCTTCTTCGAACATCAACTTCACTGTCAACAGATCCTTCATCATCATCAGACTCTTCTGCAACCATTTCAAAATCTAATTCACCTGAATTAATGTAAAAACCTCTGTGTTTTGTTTCCATGTGTGTAGGTACCACCTCATCAAACTGTGAATAAAAATACATCATTACCCATTTTCATAAAATACAGAACAGCATCAATATTTCTAGAAAAATCCATGAATAATAATTGTTAAATATACTTGGCACAAATGTTATTACAAAATTAAAATCACATTATGTGACAATGTCAACGCCATCTGTTGAGCGCACCGACCCCATTTTCCGTTCCCCAGTGGAAGACTGTGATCTTACCGACACCTGTGTATGTTCCTTCTTACTACCTGTATTCAATTTTTACTCCTTAGAAGTGATGTGGGTACCTTGATCAACAAGGGTTAGTTCACCCAGGGCAGTCCTGAACTCTAGACTTGATCCAGTGGGAACAAGTGAGCCAAGTCCATGTAGACTGTGAATTGTGATAACCAGTGAAGTACGTATTGGCGATTGGATCAACATATCCCGGGATGGACCAATCGAGTTACTAGATGGAATCAACATCCGTCTGTCCTCTATGTTCAAGACTGTTATAGGTGAAGCCTTTTAGAGGAAGCCAACCAGCATGTTGCTGGAGAGTCAAAGTGGTGTTTTGACACTGGTAATACTGTGGAGGACTGGCCTATGATTTACTGGGAAAGGTGGACTCGCCACTATGAGTACCCAAGAAGAAAGGCTCAAAGTACCTCGAGTGTTATACAACAGAAGATATAAGTGGAGTTGCAGGGATTGAAGATAGCAGAAGTTCTTTTGTAGTGTCCTGTGTGAAAGTGACACCTGCAGTGTTATGTACATATGTAATAAGTGTATATAGTTAAGACATACATGGTGATGGTTTTGTTTAGTGTTGCTTACCCTCATTCCTGTTGGATTGACTATTACTGCCAGGTCTTAATACCTTACCTATGACTAAGTTGGATCTGGTAAGAAGAGGTACTAAGACCCCAAAGAAAGTTTGAATGAAAAGAACCCAGTTACTGGCCAAGTGAGGTTGTAACAAATTAGTAATGAAATCAATATTTAACCTTTAAGAATTGATTGAATATATCTGTTTTACTCAAAGATTTTACACGATAACAGTAATTTTCATATCCCAATTTATTCTTATTTTTGCTAATCTTGATATTTTATTTTTATGTGATGTTTTAATGAGGAATCTAGACCTGCTGTGAGAGTGCATACTGACCATACATTTTTTTCTGTGTGAGTGCATTTTTACCCCTTGTTATTCAAGTATTTTAACTGGCTATTTTTCCGATATATTTACAAGTTGAAGCTCTGACATGTGGTAGGAGAAAGAGGAATTTTCTTAGCATGGATAACAGAGCCAATTTATTAGAAATGTAATCACAGGCAAAAAAGAAAGTGGGTGGCAGAGTATGGCACTGATACTAGTACAGATTCTGACAAAAGCATAGGGTAGCAGATAATATAGCTTGTATTGGCTCATTTGAGTACAGTACTGTACTAAGTTTCCACCTGTGTCCTCTTGTTCGTGTTCCGCTCATGCTAAATAGTTTGTCTCTGTCCACCCTGTCAATTCCTCTGAGAATTTTGTAGGTGGTGATTGTCTCCCCTAACTCTTCTACCTTCCAGGGACATGAGGGTCGATTCCCGTAGTCTTTCCTCATAACTCATACTCTTGGCTCCGGGACTAGTCTGGTGATATACCTCTGAATCTTTTCTAATTCAGTCTTGAGTTTACCTAGGTATGGACTACAGGCTGGAGCTGCATATTCCAGGATTTGTTTGACATATGTGATAAATAAGGTTCTGAATGCTTCCGTACACAAGTTTCTAAAGGCAGTTCTTATGTTGGCCAACCTAGCATATGCTGCTGCTGCTGCTATCCTTTTGATGTGGGCTTTTGGGGACAGATCCCTGTGTTATTGCTGTCTTGAGATACAGTACAGCCTTTCTAGAAATAAGACAATAATACCTTTCTAGAAATAATACCTAACACATGCAGAAACTGTAAAGGGTTATAAAAACAAAGATGTTTCATATCTGAATGTTTTCCAAACATGTTTTGCCCACCAAATCAAATTCATATTAAATTCCAAACTTATATTTGCTTCCCCATATAACTTGTGTAAAAAAAAAAAAAAAGGCAACTCTACTTCATGCCTGATACAAGAAAAACTTACAGCATCTGAATTATCGATGAAAGGATCCGTTTCATCATAGCCCTCTCCAAGTGTGGAGAAATCATTTTCTTTTCTTCGTTTCTTTTTCCTATTTGGTGTATATCCTCCCTGCAAATAAAGCTGAACATTAGAATAAGATCAAATGATTAAGCTAAGTACAGTAAAAGGTAAAACTCTACTTTTTCTGTGCATGCACATGCTAAAGTGACATATTATTCTTCTACATATTTGTCAGGAAAAAACCAGAAGCACAATTTCATATTTTATCGATCAATCCAAAATTTGTATTAGTTGCATGGATGTTCTACTCTTCACTTGCATTTATCCAGGCCTGCCAAAGTGAATCTCTGCAATGGAGTAGTGTAGGATCGCATGATCTTACACTGCCCCCTTCATTAAGCAGGGCACAACTAGCGACACACCAAGGAAAAGGCCCACAGCAAAACAAACTAACTGGCTGGCGAGCAGGAACAACTGCTCCCTCTGATGGCTGGTGAGCAGCTCTATGCCTAATAATTAGTAACTTACAGCCACCTTTCAGATTTTCAGGATCAACAATGTCTATCTTAGAAATGACCCAGTTACCCAAAGAATTTCCTTCCTTCGCAGAAATCAAACCCACAGCCAACTGTGCTACAGGTCACCCATGAATTGAGTTTCAATATCATCTATTGACAGCAAAGGTAACATTTCATAACTTGACTGCTTTTTACTGCATGCATTATGGTAAAAAAAATGTTCTGTTTATGTACTTCAATGAAAAAACAGAATACTGTACTGTATTACAATCCATTACTCTAAGGTTAAAAAAAAGAAGTGAAACTAGAAGTACCTAAACAATGTTATCTTAAATAAATACATTCAAATCTGAAGATTTGGATGTGTAGCAATGTACTATAGCCGATTAAAACCAAATAAAAAATACTCACGTATCTGTTTTCAAATTGCCTTGCTAAACACTTGAGTGCTGCATCCTCATCCGTTACAAAGGGGTCACTTGGGTCTAACATAGGACCATTGATAACATCACCTAATCGTTTCTTGCCTAATCTTTCGTGCTAAAATAATGGAGAGATAAATTAATTTCTAAAAACATGTACTGAATGCATAAAACATACTCATTTGAGTGCTTAAATTAGTCTTAAAAAACAAGGAATAGCACCTGTACCAATACATATCATAAAACCAGAAAAATGCCAAGAACTCTCCGAATACACCAAAAAACATATTGAAACAGGAAAGGTGATTAATAGAAAGCTGTTAAAATAAAGTCACTGTACTGGTCTTTCCAGATTCATTCAGATACTCAAATGCTAGTAAAAAAGTGACCGCTTAGGTCCAAGAGGCCTTAAAGTACCATATAAGCAATTCCATTATATCCCACTCATTCAGAGTGAACATCTGGTCAAATCTTCATGCTTCCATTAATTTTTGCTATTTATGTATCTTAGTGAGGTCCTCCATTCTCCTTAACTATCTACAGTAGTCATGGCTGAGGGGTGATGCATAAAGGAAGGCGAGAAGAAGGGGGGGGAGAGGGGAAGAGTGGCTATCAGACGAGGGAGGTGGGAGGGGGGGAAGAAACAATCCTGAAGTCTAGGTAGTGTTTCTGAGGTGAGGGGGCATTTCTGAGGTGTGAGGGGGGGTGATTCTGAGGTGGGGGTGATGCTGAGGTGGGGGGTGATGCTGAGGTGGGGGGGGGGGTGATTCTGAGGTGGGGGGGGGGGTGATTCTGAGGTGGGGGGGGGGTGATTCTGAGGTGGGGGGGGGGGGTGATTCTGAGGTGGGGGGGGGGTGATTCTGAGGTGGGGGGGGGTGATTCTGAGGTGGGGGTGGGTTGGGGGGGTTGATTCTGAGGTGGGGGGGGGGTGATTCTGAGGTGGGGGAGGGTGATTCTGAGGTGGGGGGAGGGGGTGATTCTGAGGTGGGG